TGTCAATCTAATTCTACTTTTAAAATATATTTTTATTGCTACTTGTAATTTGAGTTTCTAAAGTTTTGATCTTTTATAAGGATGAGATATTTTAATAAAAATACTATCTCTTCTATATATTGATTATCTAAATTTAATTACTTTTTAATGTATATCTAAATTAAATATTTATTCTAATGTATATATGAAGTAATTATTAAAATATTAAATTAATATTCTAATATAAAAAAATAATCATAAAATAAAAATATTATTACATTATAATATGAATGATTATTCTAATATATGACTTAACTATTTTTATTTTATTAAAAAATAATTATTAAATAAAAAATATTGATTATATTATACTATGAATTATCATTACAATTTTCAAACGTTATTATAAAGTCAAATCAAATTATTAATTTGAAATTTTAAATTAAATCATAATTAATCAGATCAGATCAGACTAGATCAGATCAGATCAGATCAGATCCAATCAGATCAAGTCAGATCCAATCAGATCAGATCAGATCCAATCAGATCAGGTCAAATCCAATCAGATCAGATCAGATCAGACCAGATCAGATCAGATCAGATCAGAACTTATTAAAATCAAATCAGATCAGAAAAAATAAGTTAACTGGAACGGAGCCTAAATGGAGTATTATTCCATATATGTAGGCTTCCATTCAATTCCATAAATGAGCTCAATTTAAGTATTTAAATGTAATACTCCATTACTCCGTATTAAGCTAATTAATCATGAGTAATTATCAACGGTGGATTGCTTATCACGTGCCAATCAATAGTGATTTGGGCATGTCACTTTGGGCGGGAAAATAAAAATCTAATTTCCCCTGCTTTTAAATAGTATATAGATAGATATTTTAGTTTGTTTTTGAAGAAAATTAAATAAATATACCTTCTAAGAAGAACAAGGATTCTGAGATTTTTGAGCAAATTCGTGCTGATAACGTGTTGTAAAATATAATGAGAGAAAAACTACTCAGAGATTAAGAGAATAAATATAATATAATTAATACACTGCCATAATATATCTACACTGCCACAATATATACACTGCCATAATGTTAGCCACAATATGTACTTCCAAAAATTCAATGTCTGAAATACACTACCACAATATATGCACTGCCAAAAATTCAATGTCTGAAATACAATGCCACAATATATATACACTGCTACAATATATCTACACTGCCACAATGTAAAGCTTCCATGAGTATCCCATGTCCCATCAACACGTAGCAATATCGTCAAATTTGGACCCATCTGTGATGCTCCTTTTAAATAATAAAAGAGAAAATATTCAATTAAATTAAATAAAGGAATGAACTCAAAGAATAGACGTATAACCTAATATGCGATGAAAATCCTGGATTTAATGGAGGTGGTGAATACAAAAACACATTGTATATATATACATGATAGGCGTTTTAGTCACATTGCGAGCTTCAGAATATTAAACAAATACATCGCACAACACACTTCCAACTTCACTTCATTAACGTTCAATGAAGGAGCTTTGTTTTTTTATAAAATTATGCTAACTACTTAGACATAATTAAGACATTCAATACAAAGAAAATAGGAAATATGTACAAATAAAAATGCAAGACAAAATTTAAACATTTAATCTTCACACTACCAACACCATAACACCTAATCTAGTGTGTACTTGCATACCATGATGGCATACCCAAATTTTTACAATGAGGGGAAAAGTTCAAATGCATAGGTGCTCTTTTAGAAATATATGTGTTCTTAATTAATAAAAAGATTATAAATTAAGATATATCCCCTGCATCCCATCAAAGAGTCTAGTTATTGGACATATTTTGTCTTCCAAAAACAATCATATTAGTCAAAACAATCTAATATTTATGCTTTATAATGTTTTTTTAATAAAAAAGTGCAAATATATTAACTCAAAGAGTACATCAAAGGGTAATAGGGCCAACAGGCAATTATTATAGCAGAAACATCGATCAACATCAAGAGAAAAATAACAACTACACCATGTGAGCCTTACATCCAACTAGTGTAGTCCCTCACTGCCATGTTTGCAATGCCTTCCAAAACATCTAAATTTTTAAAAGGGCCAACTACTTGGTATTTCAAAATGATTCCACAACACCTAAACATCACACTGCCAACTACAATTCAATAAATACTGGCAGTGTGAAATCGAAATAAGTGAAAGGCATTACCGCTGCTGTGTTTAGCATAATTTTATTAAAACAACAATTAATGGTGTCAAAGAAAAAGCTGAATATGGTACAAAGAAAAAGCCGGCGTAGTGAATTCGCCTTCGCCCATTACGTAAAAAGAAAAAACAACAATTAAAAAAAATACAGGTAAATCGAAGAAGGAAGCATGGGAGAGAACCTGATTTATCTTAGAGAGATGTGGTGATGATGATGATCGCCGCTGCTAATCGGCAAAGGAATCGCTGGTAATGGAGTGAAGACGTAGACGAAGGAGACCCGCGTAGGTGGAGGCGCACGAGTGTGTTAATTGGACTCCTTCAATAACCTAATTTTAATGAAAAAAATAAAAAGGAATAAAGGGTATGATAGGAAGGGTTTGACAGCATAAATAGCTAAGTTTGTAAAAAACATTGGGTAGTGCTAAATGCGTATTTTTGGGGGAATTAGTGTGCTATGTAGGGTGATTTCTTTAAAAATAAAATATTCTTATCACTTCTTGTTTTGTAGAAATTTTGACGTAGTTGTTTAATATGTAATTTTTATATCTTATTGATATACCAATTTGTAAATAAAATGATTTCAAAAAGTAAGAAATTTTACTCCGTAACCCGCAATTTGTAATCAAATTGGGGACGGAGGGAGTATACACTAATGTCAACCCCGTGCTTCGCACGAGCTCATATACATTCTAAATTTTTGACATTCTATAAATATAATTTTATTTATTTTAAATGAATATTTTTTCACTCTAAGATATTTTAAATATTGATGTACATGCACTAAAAATTCAATAACTATTTAATTTTAAAATTATTAAATTAAATGAAGAATAAAAATGCCAAAAACAATTTAATATCTTTGATGGCAAAATATTTTTTTCATTTTTTGAAAGTGAAATATTTTTTAAATTAATAATAAAGAGTTTTATACATACTCTTCTTTAAAATTTTACAATCAATATGTATATTTAAAATACGGAGTAAAGTTTACAATGGTGAAGTATATGTTTATAGAATTGTTGGAAAATGTTAAATTTTATTCAAAATATAATCAAAGTAATGTTTTTTAATGCTAAAAATAATATTCATTTAATATAATACAATAAGATATATTAAAAGATCCTCTTAAAAAATAAGCTTAATGGACCAATGAAATATTTCCACCTCATGCATTGGTGCACATGTGGATGCACATGTGGCATGCCACATGTCAACACCACAAATAAAAAACTCAACTTTATATATATACTAGTCTTTTAACCCGTGCCATGCACGAGAAAACGGATTTTTAATTTTTCTTTACTACAACATTTTAAAAAATCGTATATACCAAATAAAACATCAACATTAAAAGTTAGAATAATGATAAAATATACTTCTTCCATATCACAAAACTTTTCTCGTTTTTACTTTTCAATGATTTATTTTGATGTTGATCTTTCAAAAATGTCCTTCAATAAGATGAGTAAAAATAAGATGTGATGGGTAGATTAATAGTGAAAACTATGATGTGATAGACAGGTTAAGAATTGATAACGGTAAAAGTAAGTGTTTAATAGTAATGAGAAAGGTTTTTTCGGGATGGATGAAAAAAGAAAGGAGAAAAGTTTTATGGGATAGAGGAAATATAATCTTTGCTAATGAAAATTATACTATATATATATTTGAAAATTAACATGTCAGACTTTTATTTAAATTAGAA